ATCTATTAGAGAGTGGCAATTTTCAAATAGATAATATATTGTTACTAACTGAAGTGATCATGATGTACAGTAGATCTCTTGAACTTATTCCTCCTGTCTAACTGAAATTTTCTATTTTTTTTAAATTAACATTTCCCCAAGGTCCCCAAACCCCTAGCTTCTGGTTACTGCCATTTTACTCTCTGTTTCTATAAGTTTGACTTTTTCACACTGCACCTGTAAATAAGATCATGCGGTATTTTTCTTTCTGTGCCAGGCTTATTTCACAGAAGAGTCTTTCAAAATTGAAGGACACATAATATCCTTCAGATTCATCCATGTTGTTGCAAATGACAGATTTTCTCTTTTTACAGCTGAACAGTATTCCATTGTGTATATATATACCATGTTTTCTTTATCCATTCGTCTATTGATGGACACTGAGGTTGATTTCTTATCTTGGCCATTGTGAATTATGCTGCAATAAAACATGGGAGTGCAGATCTCTCTTTAGCATGTTGATTTCATATCCTTTGAATATATACCCAGTAGTGGGACTGCTGGATCATATGGTAGTTCTGTTCTTAAGTTTCTGGGGAGCCTCCAGACTGTTTTCCACAATGGCTGTACTAATTTACATTTCCATCAGCAGTGTCTAAGGGTTCTCTTTTCTCTATATTGTCACTAATGCTTTATTATCTTCCTGTATTTCTGCTATTCTAACAGATCTTAAGTGATACCTCATTGTGATTTTAATTTGAATTTCCCCGATGATTAATGATGTTGAACATATTTTCACATACTTATCATTTATATGTCTCCTTTTGAGAAATGCCTGTTAAGGTCCTTTGCCCATTTTTAAATTGGTTTTTTTTTTTCTTGCTATGGAGTTGTTTGAATTCCTTATATATTTTGGATGTCAGCTCCTTATCATTTGTATGGTTTGCAAATATATTCTCCCATTCTATAGGTTGTCTCTTACTGGGAATTTTATATAAGAAATTTTAGAATCATATTTGCTGTTGTGGGTGAAATGGATTAGAGAGAATAAGCGGGAGGAAGAAATGCCTAGGAACAGAGAGGCAATTCAGAACTATTACAATAATATCAGCAAAAATGGGCAGATCTTGGACTAAGAGTTATGACTTTGATTGGCAGATGAAATAAAGATATATTAAAGAAGGAGAACTGACTAGATGTTTTGATCAATCAGATGTAGAGAATGAGGGACAGTCAGGAGCTGATTGAAGTGAATAGGTGAACTGAGTCAGATTAAAACAGGCCCTATTCAACAGCCAGAAAAACAGGGACAAAGTATTTTATTCTGGTGAGAGGCTAATACTAGTCAGGTTCTTAGGGCTCTAGTGAAGTGATTTGGGATTCAGGGAATAATTGTAGTCCTTGTAAAAAATTTCAACTCTTTTATCAGTTGAACTGTATCTCCCAAAATTCTTGTGTTGAAGTCCTAGCCCCCAGCACCTCAGAATGTGACTGAATTTGGAGATAGGGTTTTAAAAGAGGTAGTTTAAACAAAATGAGGCCATTAAGATATTCATTAGAGTGGGTCCCAATCCAACATGGCTGGTGTCCTTACAAGAAGACATTAGGACACACAGCTACACAGAGGGAAGACCATGTGAAGACACAGGAGAAGATGCCATATACAAATCAAGAAGAGAGGCCTCGGGAGAAGCAACTCTGCCAACATTTTTGATCTCAGACTTCTAGCCTGCAATTGTGAGAAAATATTTCTGTTGTTTAAGCTACCCAGACTGTGGCACTTCATTATGATAACCCTAGCAAATACTACAAATGTCAACATGGACCTAAGTCCTTTTAAACCAGAGAAGGCACAAGCCATGCGAACTGGGTGCTAAATAATACAGCTCAGAAAGTAGGCAGGGCCACCAGGGACCCTTGGTTAGTGATCTTCTGGCCAAGAAGTACTTCTCAATCCTATCCTCTGGTAGAGATGGGTCGTCTAATATTCTTTCAAGTTTGATTCTTATTGACTCAAGTTTGATTCTTATTGACTCAAGTTTGAAATCTTATTGACTTCAAGTTTGATTCTTATCTGTAGCAGAGCCGAGCTACAGATGAAAAGCCTTTAATTTTGATGCTAAGAAGAGGCAGAAGCAAGCAGGGGCTGACTAACAATCTCAATTTCAAAAAATAACTAACTGCATATCAACATATAGCATAAACGAATGTTAGATCCAGTCGGAATTGACTCAAAAATAATTAAGATATTTGTTTCTACTTGCACATTCCTTTGCCTTCACATGCAAAGAGAAATTCACTGTGGTTCAACTGCTGTTATTACCCTGCATTACTGCAAATTTCTCTGAACTGATCTTTCTGTTTCATTATCGCCACTCTTAGCCCCCAATAATGAGGATCAAGGGCAGATCATTTTAGGCATGAATAGGCACATTGCCATGATTTTCTCATTTGTCTGTACACATTTGCCAAAAAAAGGAATTATCCAGATATCTTGACTCTTTGTCCTAGTCTCCTAAATCCAGTTTCAAAGGGTAGATTCTTCCTTTGCAATTACTCTCACATCCATCCTTTTACATTTTTATATATCCCAGTTCCAGCTCTTTTCAGATCTTGCCTAAACCAGTACAATAGTCCCCTTACTTTTCTGCTTGCCTTTTAGCTCTTTCCTCGCTACCTAAATTCATCCTGCACAAAACTTTTATAAAACACCTTTAGAAAATGTTGACCACAATGCTCTTTTCCTATATATTAACCTTCAACAGATTCTGGTTGCTTATTCAAACACATTCAAACACCTCTGTCTAGTGTTTAAGACTGTGGGAATCTGGCCTTTTCTAGCCAATGCATAACTGCCCTAGCTTCCCAAATCCTCAAATGCATTGAAGTAGTTTCAAGCATTGCCCAGCACATGCCTGCCACACAGCCCGGTGCTTCCTGCCACACAGCCGGGTGCTTCCCACCCCTGTGCTTTTGTTCATATGGTTCCATTCCTTAGCCTGCACTCTGCCATGCTCCACCATGCTCCTTCAAGAACAGTTCAAATCCCAGACGCTTTTGCTCTCATTTTTCTCCCAGCATGAGATGCCCTTTTTTCTGTCTACTCATTCTACCCATCTTTCAAGGTGAAGCATAACTTCTAACTTACCTTCGAAGTCTTTCCTAACCATTGCGGCATTCAATCCTTTGAGAAAGGCTTTTGTGGGGTCACCAGTTACCAGATGTTGTCTGAGCTCTAGGGATCACAATTGGGTAAGACACTGTTCCTAATTTCCAGGATGATATCCTCTCCTCTTTCCTTGAGCTCCTATTGCAGTTACGACCCAAAGAATTGCCTATTAATAATGCAATGCCTCAGGAAATTTCTTCTGTTTTTAATTGCCAATTACATTTGCTTAACTTAAAAAAATGACTTATCTTCCCTAGTTATAGATTGTAAAGACTCAGTTTCCCCCCAAAGTATCTAGTTTAACATGGGAATAGAGAGAGATATACTATATGTATCAGGCATTGGGCTGCTATTTTTGCTAGTGCTTCTCCTGGTGTGATACGTCTAACAGTTCACTCTATGGGGTGCACAAAACCCATGATATTACAGATACTGTTGCTTAGGATAAGGCTAAAGTAAATAGCGTCTAGTTAACTGTTTTTAAAAAGTGAGTTGATTTAAAAACAAATGTTAAATAGTAATGTTTCAAGTGATAGCTCTGGCAAAAATGGTAGAAGTGGTCCTTTAACGTCTTTCAAAGGCGTTATATGATATCGCATTTATTCCTCAGAACAGTCTTTCAAATTGGAAACCAAAGTCCAGAAAAATGATAGAACTTACTCAAGTCGCTAACAGATCAAACTTTCCCCCTTTACCATAATACCCTTTTGCATATAGATTTAGTTTAATACTTGAATATGGGTGTCTGACCCGTGTTTTAATACTCCATCTCCTCAAAAAGATTTGCTTTAGCTTTCTAAATCAAATCCTTCACCTTCAGAAGAATAAAAGAGGCACACCAGAGTCATTCTGGTGTATTTCTAAGCACATTTACAAAACATACAAGGAAAAGGACCTGATTCCCCGGCTGGGTGAGTGAAACGTTAATTCTTCACCTTGGCACCTCAACCTACAGCTGTAATAAGGGCCGTTATGCCCAAATAGGCCCTTAAACGGAAGACCTGCTGAGCAGAGACCCACTTTCCCAGCCCCGCTCAACTGCCTCAGCTTTTCTGCCAACTGACCAGGCGGAAGCAGCAGCAGGGGAGGAGGGACTGCAGGTAGGTGGGGAGGGGATCATTTTGAAAGCCCTAAATCCCTTGCAGGGAAGAAGCAGCTGCTCCTTGTTTTTCTAAACATCTGTCCCATCTGTCCCAGGCCACACCTCACCCTTTGGTGGCTCGAGCCAGTTAAACGTGAATTTGACAAGAAAGCCCTTCTGAAGGCTGGTTTGTGAGTGGAAATGAACCTAAGTGCCACCTAGAAAGTTTCTTCTACTGAGAAGACGTTAGTAGGGGGTCTTCAGCGGCACGGCTATTACCTTCCTTCATTTTATTCTCACAAAACACAGCTTTTACTGATAGAGGCGGGATTTGTAACGTCACCCAAATCAGACTGTACGCCCTGGGGATATTATTTCACAACACAGAGGTACTTCTAGAGCCCACATTTTAACCTCTAGGAGAGCCACAGCCTAACTGGAAGGAGAAATAACGATATTGCACACACCATACCGCCTTTACGGTAGAACAAGCTGTGCACATCTAGTGCCTGTGGCGTTTATCACATTTTTCAGCGTGTGGCTTTTATTTGTCTCCTCTGACACACTGCTCCTTGAGAACAGGGAAGTTATTTTTATTGTTATTTTCCCCTCGTATTCAGAACCGTGGCTGGAACTTGGTAGGCATGAAATAGATATTTATGAATGAATGAATGTTAACGAAGAAAAGAAAAGGAACTGGATGATTCATTTGGTTCTCCGAAGGCGGGTGTGAGGGGTGGGGCTCGGACTTTGACCCAGTTACCGAGTGAGGCGCAGTCCCAAAGTCCTGCAGGTCCGGCTCCAGTCACTGCAGACCCGGGTCTACATCCGGTGCTCAGGCCTCCCGAAGCGAGGCTGCGCGCGTCCTGCACGGTCCCGCCCCGAAGGAGCGCAGCCACGCCCCCTTCTCTGGTCATTCCCTCTGCGAAGTCAGTTCCACTCTAGTTACAGGATTGGGGCGGGGCCGGCAGAGCGCAGGCGCAACGGGCGGCGGAAGTAGGAACCTGGGAAGGAAGAGAGAACGGGGCCTGGCTGTGCTATGCCAAGGGCCCACGTTTCTGTTGTGGGAAGCTCCAGGAGGTCGCACGTGCGTCCGAGCCCAAGCCCCTCTCCTCCACTCCCCTCCCCGCTTGCCCCGGAGCCGCCAAACGGCCGGCTTCTTCTCGGCCCGCCGAGATGGCGCTCGACCCCGCAGGTACCGGGGCGGGAAACGGGGTTTGCCGAGGGGCTTTGCCCTGGGTCTCTCACCGCGGGCCGTGCGGGCTGGAGACCGACCTGGGAAAGGTGCAGAGCTTTGGGTGGCATTGCTTCCACCAGCGTCTCCTCACGCTCGGCGTCTGCTTCACCCAGTCTTAGGTCATCTTCTCACTTGTTGGGGGTTATGGTTAGCTGAGGTTGCTTTTGTTGTCTAAACTCTCATGCATTGTGGTTTCTTGCTTAACGCGACTCGTCTCTTCATTGTCACCCTCTTTTCGCCCCTTAAGGGCACAGACTCATTTAATGTATGGTGCAGACACTCTGGCCCCGGAAAAATTTTTATATTTGTTCTGGCGCACAGTTTTACATTTCTGTTTGGGAGTTCATGGACCCCGAGTTCATCCTTGTAACCCAACTTAAAAACACATTTCAAAGGATCCATCACTGTGGCAAGAGTCAGTTTCTTTGGGAAGGATCTTCAAAGTCTTGAATGTTGTTTTAATCTCCTTGCTTCCAACCACTTCCGTTTGCAGCAATAGTTTACGTCCCCTCGAATTCCCGTCCTTGTGAAAGGTGACCTGCAGTATCTTTGCTTTAGGCTATTCTTGCAAGGGAATAGATAACAGTTTTGGAGGGAATGGTAATTGGTCTAGTCCATTTCTTTCATTTTATGGATACAAAAAGTCAAAACATTGAGAGGTGAAATGGCGTCAAACTTGGGAGATTCAGAAATGGGAAATGCTCTTTCGGAGCCTTCAAGGAGCATGAAAAATATATGTAGCACAGAAATAATGTTTTAATTGAACACGTTATTACCATGCTAAGTGTTCTCTGTTATCCAACAGTATGTGATATGGTAGGTTCCTTTAGCTCCATTTTACAGATTAGGAAACCGAGGCGAAGAGAAGTTAAGTGGCTAGTCCAGCAGGTAGTGGTAGATCATGGAATACTCTAATTTGAAGCATAGAGGAGTTTTGGAACACAATGATCATGTTCATTTTGGACTAGGTGATTATGAAACAGCAGTTGATCTGGGCTTTGAGGGATGGAATTTCCAGTGTTTGGAACTGGAGAAGAGCAGCTCCATGAGCAAAGGTTTAGATAATAAAGTGCACTGTGCGATGCTTGGTTTCAGGATGACTACTATGATTTCGTTCTTGAAGGTAGAAGGGGTAGGGTGTAAGTGAGGGGTGAGTAAGGAAGGTTCAGGTTTAGTCCCATATAATTTATGGTATTTCTTTTATTTTTTTATTTTTTTTATTTTTATTTTAGTGGGACGGAGTCTCACTCTGTAGCCCAGGCTGGAGTGCAGTGGCGCGATCTCGTCTCACTGCAACCTTCGCCTGCTGGGTTCAAGCAATTCTCCCACCACAGCCTCCCGAGTAGCTGGGATTACAGGCACCCGCCACCACGCCTGGCTAATTTTTGTATTTTTAGTAGAGATGGGGTTTTGCCATGATGGCCGGGCTGGCCTGGAACTCCTGACCTCAAGTGATCTGCCTGCCTCGGCCTCCCAAAGTGCTGGGATTATAGGTGTGAGCCACCACACCCAGCCTAATTATGGTATTTCTGAACTTGAAGTGACATATAAAGTCATCTCATATAGATGAGGAGATTGAGACTGAGAGAGGTTAAAGATTTCCATATATCTATAATTTTTGAATTTAGACAAGGAAATTTGGGAGAAAAATCTTCATACTTGCTGTCTTCACTTGCTTACCTTCCAGTTACTCATAAGCCACTCCAATCTTGTGTTGTACCCAAGGCTGCACAGCTAGTTGCTGGTTGAATCAAGTCTGGTTAGAACCTAGGTAATTTCATTTCCAATCCAGTGCTGTAGACCATGCCACCTTTTGAGTATTGATTAAACAAAGACTTGTTGAGTGTCTGGTATATGGCCCGTATTGTTCTGGGCCCTAGGGAACAGTAGTATATAGGACAAACAAAATCCCTGCTTCCAATAAAGCTTATCTAGTGGTAGAAAAAGACAATTAACACCCCCTTCTCCTTCTACACAGACACGTGCGTGGGGGCACACACACACACACATTTTTACAGATTGTGATAAACATGAAGAAAATAATGTCATGTGGTAGATGGTGAAGAGATTAGTCAGTGAAGAGCTTTATGAGGAAGTGTCATTTGAATTGGAATCTGAGGGATGAGAGGAAGCTAGGCAGAGTGTGCTAGGCCATCAAGTAGCAAATATTTAACTTGAATGTGGGTCAGAGTGTGGAGGGGATCCATAAGGAAAGATACTGGGAAAGTGGGTGGTAGCTAAATGTCTAGATATTGCAGAGGCTGCAAGGCCTCAAAGGCTGGCTGTGATAATTAAACATTTGGATTATTTCTAATGTCATCAAACGCCTTTAGAATCTTTTAAAGAGGGCAGTAACATAATTTGTGTGTTTATTACCCTGACTACAGTGGTAGCATGCATTGTAGAGGGGTCAGGTAATAAGTGGCAGAAAGGAGACAGGTTAAGAGATGGGAGCAGTAGTCCAGGCCAAATATGTTTGTATCTTAGCCAAAGATGGTAATAGAAAGATGGACAGAAATATTCAGCATCATGAGGAGAAATTGACAGGACCTGCTGTTGCGTTGAATAAGGATGGTGAGAGAAAGGGAGGAAATAGCATCTGGGCACCGTGGCTCATGCCCATAATCCCAACGCTTTGGGAGGCCGAGGCAGGCGGATTGCATGAGCTCAGAAGTTCGAGACCACCTGGGCAACATGTTGAAAACTCGTTTCTACTAAAATACAAAAAAATTAGCCAGGCGTGGTGGTGGACACCTATAGTCCCAGCTACTCGGGAGGCTGAGGCATGAGAATTTGAGCCTGGAAGGCAGCGGTTGCAGTGAGCCGAGATTGTGCCACTGTGCTCCAGCTTGGGCCACAGAGTGAGACTTTGTCTCAAAAAAAAAAAAAAAAAAAAAAAAAAAAAGGAGGAAATAGGGATAATTCCTCTCCAAACAAACAAACAAACAAAAACAAGAAAGGGGGGAAATAGGGATAATTCCAGTTTTTTTTACGTCAGCAGCTGGGTGGAAGGTCATGGTCGAATCTAACAATGTGATTATTGGAAACTTCATCAAAGGAAGGAATGGAAGCCATGGAAAGTAAAAAAGTGGAGTCAGCAAGTAGGAAGATTTTTTTTTTTCCCCTAAATTGTTTTGTCTGTCTAAATTCCAGAATAAAGTGTATGGAAGCCAGTTTTTTTTGTTTTGTTTTGTTTTTTGTTTTGTTTTTTAAATTTCGTGTTTATTTGGTTCGTACGTTGAAGCTTAGTATTATGGTATTTCTGAACTTGAAGTGACATATAAAGTCATCTCATATAGATGAGGAGATTGAGACTGAGAGAGGTTAAAGATTTCCATATATCTA